GGGGGGGGGCACAGCTGGCTATGGTTCTAGAGACGCAGAGTCAGCTGTCAATCAGGCAGTGGGGTAGATTCTGATAATATTGTCGGATCTTTCCCAGTTGCCGTGCGGCTCTACGTTATCAGCAAATAGCAGGCTGTGGCCCGCTAGATGCTGACTTTGTGTCATATTAGTAAATGTCTCTGTGACCCAAAAGAGAACTATACCCAAAAACGGTTTGGCCATAATTTCCTATTAAATATAGAGTGAGTGGTTTATTAGATCTGTTTGATAAGTGCAAAAACACAAAATTTGTGTCTGAACTCTCCTGCGCTGATAACTCCTTGTGCTCTCATCAGCTTGGGCTGTTCAGTTATCAGCATTGTTTACTGCTATATGTATAGACAACAGAACACTGCACCACTAGGATATGGTTTTCATCCTAGGCCAGGAAGTGTGTGACTGGGGGGGTTTGAGAACTATTTGAGCTGGGATTAGTAAATGTTTATTTCAGGTTCTAGGCATACTCAGAACTCTTCTTTAGCAGAATTTTTACTTGTCTTATAGTGAATTTTTTTTTTTTTTAATCTTGCATTTCTTTCCACAAAAGTAAAGTTTCAAAACCGATTTAAAAATCATCTTCTTGTTAAGCATGCTTGGTAGCCAAATGCAGTTAACATACCCCCATAACAAACGCACACCGGATCGCAGCGGGAAGCTCCGGAGAACTAAAACTTGATGCTCTTTCAATAGGTGAAGAATCTGTTGTCTCTGTGCTCGGGAGCATGGAATCCGGAGTACTGTAATCATTCAGAGGAGTATTCTAGAAAAAGGAAGCAGCATTTACTTAGGTGTCAGAGTTAAATAATCTCCTTAACTTCAAGTGCTCCTAAGCCATATCGAAGGAGCAGCAGCACATTGTTAAGCTTATTACCTTTGCTTCCCTACCCTGTTCACTACTGAACAGAACCCTGACCAGCCAAGAGTGCTGACCACATCTCTCCCAGTCTGCTTAACAGATTATAGGAGGCTTAAATAAAGACAATACAGCTACTTAAACTAGCTGTATATGAAATGCATACAATATTTTAATGAATACATAACTGCATCAAATAGTGTTCTAGAACTGCCTAAATTTCAGGTTTAAAGGGGGATTTCCAATGTAAAGTACAACCATCCTGAAAAAGCCCTATAACCATTTTATTCACAGAAAAGGAGACAGCTTACTACTAAAACTGACCATATAGTGTGTGTATGTGAATAAATATGTTACAGAATAAGGTGTCCTTTCTGAAACAGAAGATTCTATCCCTTCACGATGCCTCAGGTTGATTCCTTCTAGATCAGCCTCCTTCAGTTTCTTCTTTAAAGCCACCTGTTCATCTACAGCAGAGACAAAAAATAAAGGGCAATTGCTAGAAAATTTCAATTAAGCTCTTAACATTTTCCTTTCAAATGCGCAAATATCCGATTATCCTTCTACTTTTGCATCCAATGAAACCTTATATTTACATTGCTAAAACATGCAAGTATAAGCCGTAAAAATACCTATATATTATTTTATTTTTTTAAACCGGCATCCCCTAAGCAGAAAATTAATTTTTTATAACATACACTCCAAGGCTTGTCTGCTAACAGGATGAAAACACTGCAGCTTTCCTTATTAGAAAACAAACATTTGCTCAGATGGTCATAATGAACAAAGACCCTCCAATTCAGCAATCTGGAAAGGACATGGTGAAACAAACTGCTATTTCTGAAGAACAGAAAAAGGTAAGGCCCGTTCACACCAGTTGCAGTGCGTTCCGGCCCGATTCTGGCATTGCGGCCGGCTCACTTTTGAGTGGGGCAAGCACTATTTTGATCCCACCGCACCGTAGGCACAATGTGCCCTGCGATCCTGTGCGGGTGATCGCATTGTGGCCGGAGGTTCATTCACTTCAATGGCCCGCCACGCCACCTCCTGCCCCACTATAAAGTGAGCCTGCCGCAATTCGAGGCAGTGCGTTCTGCCCCGAATCGGGCCGGAACGCACTGCAACTGGTGTGAACAGTCCCTTAGAATCTGCAACAAAATGTGTCAAAATCTTTACAAAATACATTGATCTCCCAGATGGGGCTGTTTTTTCCACAAACGTGGAGCTACACTTTAATACTGGGTGCACCCATCACACTAGTGTCACAAAGCATTAACGGTTTTCTAAAGAGAGAGCCAAACAGAAGAAGATTTTCTTTTCAGAATCACCGTCTCTAATTGAAAAACTCTATATGGCCCATCTGAACAGAGCAGGGTATGAGTTTGTGTAAAAACTGTGGAACCAGCACACTAATCTTCCAAAGAAATTCAAACTTTATTCCACATGCATCTGTACAAAGCACAACCACAGTTCCACAGTTTTTGAGCCTATTACTCCGGAAGAGAGTCATCCGTGCACCGAATGTGGATTGTGGGGACGCATGATAGGGGTAAGCTGTGCGCTTCTTGTTTTCAGTCTATGCGTTTGTGTAAATCTGAGCTAGAACTACTGTGCTCTGTATACTGTTCTATTTTCTATAAAGTAGCTAAGAACAGAAAGATAAATGTGATAGAGCAGTCTGGAGCTCCATTTTCTAACCCAGTATACAATTCCTGTAAAACACAGGGTTGTAAGATCATCTAGTTTCCAGCTTAGTAGTATACTGAACAGGAAAAGCACAAAAGTGGAAGAACCAATTTGTAATAGGGGCGATAATAGCAATAATCTTACCAGCAGTGTCTTGTAATGTGTCTGCAGTCTATGACCGTCTGCTGAATTATGTCCCCGGGCTACAACAACTCCTGTCTACAGTCTCTGACAGTATTTTGTAGTAGTTCAATAAAATAATATGTTTGGCCCTTTGGTGATGGCAGGGGCCACATTTACAGTAGAACTGAAGCTAAAAATATTTTTCTTAGTTTTGCATAGAGTAAGTGTTATAACCCAAGATAGCTTTCTTTTGCCCTCAGTGGAGATTTCCCTCAACTTCCTGTCAAATAGCCACAACAGGAAGTGAGGGAAATCCCTAATGGTCAGCAGGGTCACCAGAACTAGTTTCCTCATTAGAAGATTTCCCGTCTATTCTTGTTCTGGTGACATCCCAAAATTTGGGATTTTCTTTCACTTTCAGTGGTAACGGTCACCAGGACAAAAGGGGTGAAGCTTCCTGATGGGGACACAGCAATCAAAATCTGACAGGAGTCCTACCCCCTCTCCACTCCATCCAAAACTAAAAAAAAAGGTTTTGCTTCAGCTGCACTTTAAAGGTCCCCTATAACAAGAAAGTTGACTGCCACTGAATAAACATTTCCAGGCTGAAAGCCATTTATAGGGAAGGAGAAGCCAGAGGAAGTGATTCTGGTTCTCTTTCTTTTGAAAATAGAACCAGCCTGCCATTGAAGTTAGCAGTGTTTGTTCCTTTGTACACAGCACAACCGAGAAAGAGCTATGGGAACAAGGAGGGTAAGGCAAGGTCACGTACCTAGCTCACGCTTCCACTGAGCCTTCTTTGTCTCTTGCAGACTTTTCTCTTTCTCCCGTTCTCCGAGGGTACTGAACAGGTTTCCTGCTTTCCTAGATAAATCAGAAGAGACAGCATTTCAGAAACAAGAAAATAAAAGCACGATACATTTTGGTGCTGAAAAATAATATTACACAATATCAATATGAAGGCCAAAAATGCATTGCAACAGGTCTCTTAACAGTCCAAAAACCTCCCTTTTAAACAGACAGTGGCAAATTTAACCCCCCAAAATACTACACATACCAAAAATACCCATTGTTCCTACCAGACATCCAGAGAGTGCCTAACTTCCTGCAGTAAGCTGACAACGTTGCCTCTGCAGCACTGAAATCCCAACAAACTGCTGTCAGCCGTGTCCAAATTCTCCCAGCAGAACCACAAGCCACCCCCCCCCCCCCCCTTTATATAATGGAGATTAGGAGAGGGGGTGCTCTGAAGTCAAGCAGGGGAGAACTCATGGAGGACTGATACACTGCTTGGGATTTCAGTGCTGCAAAGGCAGCGTTGTCAGCTCACTTCAAGAACTCACTGGATTTCTGGCAGGTTCAAAAGGGTATTTTTCTGCACTTCTAAGACAAAACATGGGTACAAGCTCCCTATGTTTTTTTTTCTTTGGCCAGGCATACATTTTATTCAGATAAACACTAACACAGCAAATAGAGAGCTGTAGAAAAAGCCTAACACACCCAGAGAGACTGTGCAATATCGGACACCCCTTATCTCAGGCCCCAGGAAGCACAAGGGCGTAGTACTTAACACTTCTGCTTTGCGGCACTATCTGCAAGGAGTTTGCATGTTCTCCCTGTGCTTGCGTGGGTTTCCTCCGCTAACTCCGGTTTCCTCCCACACTCCAAACACATGCTGGAAGGTTAATTGGTCCTGTATGCATGCGAGATGGGGACCTTAGATTGTAAGCTCTGAGGGCAGGGACTGATGTGAATGTGCACTATGTAAAGTGCTGTGTAAACTGTCAGGTCTATATAAAATACATGTAATAATGAAATAAATGAGAGCAGAAAAGCTGTACAATTAGGATTCTTTGCGGCACAGCCATGGTTAGGGGTGCAGCGATTAAAGGATTGCCCAAAGAAATGCAAGAAAAGCCCCCAAAAAACGTTGCTTCTTATTTGACGACAGACCAACTTAAATCCATTATGATCACCTTCCAATACTCTCGGTGGTACTTGGAGGCAAAACTTTCTGGAACCTTGGGTGCTTTGGATGTCCTTTGACGCTTTGTTCTCCCCCCCCCCTAATATACATATATACACACACACACACACACACACACACACACACACACACACACACGCTCCCCTTGCTCTAACCTCTGATCTCTCTTTTCTCTATTATTATGCCGTGATTTATTATGTTTTATTGCCTGCGTTTATATTTTTCCCCGTCCATCAAAAGGAGCCCGTCCCCTTGTTCTCTCCCTTTCTTTCTTCCTTTTCTTCTCTGTCGCTCTTGACGCAACGAGAACTCCTCTTCTTGACAACGGCAGTTTTTTTACCATAACCTTATGTGAATGTTATCCCACTGTCTACAGGATAGAGTGGGATACCCTCTACACAGTAACATGTTGTTTTGTTATGCTATGTTATATTAAGTTGCGGTTGACTTTTTCATTTTTCATTGCAAAAACAATAAACATGCTAACAAAAAAACAAAAAGACACACACAAAACAAATGTTACCTTTACTCTTAAAAAAAAAAAGAACCTGCTGCTCGAACCATGTTATCAACCCCAGATAAGAACAAAGAAGAGAACAACGCTGCAGCATATGTAGAGAGCATGCAATAAGTCTCTCTATAGAAAGGGAACATACACATCTTTTGGCTGAGTGGCTGAAGGAGATTCATCTCTCTCTTCTCCAGCATCCTCCTCGGGATGTAAAAGTTGTGCAACGCTCTCTTCTTCCTCTGTCTCCTTGTTATCTTAAAGAAAAGAAACAGACTTCATATGAACGTATTGAGGTTGCAGTTTTCAATAGAAAGTGACAAAAAAGTATTGTTACAATGGCAGGCATGTAGACAAGTATACCGTATATGCCAAGACTAAAATATACACAGTAAATCCATATCATATGCAACAACTGAGCTTATAGGTTACTATATTTCAGTGATTCTGAGAAGTGCAATCACTTCCACTGCACTGGTCATTGGAAACCTTAGATGTTCAGTCAACTGGCTGCTGGCTGAGAACAAAGCAGATGCTGTATCTGAGAATAAATACTTCTCAGTCCACACAGATTGCCATGTAAACAAAAAAATGTATGGAGAGTACTCTCTGTATCAGTAATGGAGCCGCTACCATGGAGACCCACTTACTATGGTATAACACTGAGGGACTATAGGGGGGCTGGTGAAAACTGGAGTGAAAGGAGAAGTTTAAAGTGACAAAACTCAGGAGTTACATTTTCAAAATGCATTCAAGTCCCCTATTAAAAGGAGAACTATGAGGTGAGTGCTTTTCACTCACCTCATAGTTCTAGCTGACCTGTGACAATGAGACTGTCACAGGTCGGCTCAGTAGATCGGGAAGTGAGCGGGGAAGTGAGCGAACACATACCGGGTTCGCTCACCTCTCGATCCTGTCACGGCTCTCTGCCGTGACAGGGGAGGGACTGGATTCCCCCCTTCCCGCTCCGATCTGCCAGCGCTGACTGGCGGAACGGACGGGGGAGGGGGCGGGTACAGCTGGCTCTGCCTCTAGATAGGCAGAGCCAGCTGTCACTCATGCAGCTGGGCGGATCCTGTCATCTAAGTCGGGATCCGCTCCAGGTACGGCGTCTCAGTATACCGCGAGCTGAAGCGCGCGGTATACTGAGCTGAGGGTGACGGGAGAACGCTAGTTTGTGTCCTCCCGTTACCCTAAGGAGAACTATGGGGAAAAACACTGACCCCATAGTTCTCCTTTAACATTAATGTATTTTATTTCTGTATTACTCGGCTGTAGATCCCCAAATCATCTCTGAATTGGTGCTGACACTGTCCTTCCTTTTGGAGGGTGGCTACTTTTGTTCCCCATGGTCCCTGTGTGTGTTGTAAAGTAGACAGCACTCCAAGCTCGCTTCCAACCTCGGGTTTAGTTTACTAATTTGTATTAAGATTGTAGTCCATCACTCCAGCTGTGGTGAAACTACAAATTCCAACATGCCTCTGCCACTGGAAGTAATGCCTATGGATGTCTTGCAATGCCTCGCGGGACTTGTAGTTCCATACCAGCGGCAGGGTCTGAGGTTGGCTACCCCTGATCTAGAGTGGAAAAGCAACAGCAGACCAATGGGTAGAGGGGTATCTTTTTAACGCCATATTATAAAAAATAAACCAAAAAAGACTAATCTGAACCTTAACGACGTGCAATAAAACGCCCCCAATGTTTGAGAATGACTGGTTTAGGCAAACTTACCTTCATCAGCAGTCTGTTCCTGTGCATTTGGCTTATTACTCTGATTGATGGTCATTAAAATCTGCTGGAACTGCTTCTGTGTAAGACAAACCAGACTCTCCCTCAGATCCTCAGCAGTGATCCCTGGCTTATCCTGGGGTCTTTGTTTCGGCACATTGGAGAACTTTGTGGGCATTGGTTTGGCCTTTCCAGCATCCGCCTTTGTCTGCTGTGCATTCTGCTGAATAAGAGGTGCGTGCTTTTTGTTTTCAAGTTCCTTGAGAACATTTGTAGGGGGTTTCCCGGAACCCAAGCCCACCTTCCCAAATCTGGACTTCAGCACCGGCTGCTCGGCCCTTTCATTGTTGTTCTGAACAGTGTGGAGGACCTGAGGCTGGTGCTTTCCTTTCAGTGCCGTTCTTTGCGCCTTACCCCTGTTCCCCACCTGCAAAACCAAAATATAATAAAACAATTATTCAATCTTTGTAACTCACTTTTAGCATTAAAAGGAGAACTTTGAGGTCAGGGCTTTTCCACAAAGTTCTCCTTAGGGTAACGGGAGGACACAAACTAGCATCCTCCCGTCACCCTAAGCTCAGTATACTGATACGCCGATACAGCTCGCGGTATACTGAGACGCCGCAGCTGAAGCGGATCCCGACAATTATGTCTGGATCCGCCCAGCTGTGTGAGTGACAGCTGACTCTGCCTATCTAGAGGCAGAGTCAGCTGTACCCGCCCCCTCCCCGTCCATTTCGCCAGTTAGCGCTGGAGGATCGGAGCGGGGAGGGGGGAATCCAGTCACTCCCCTGTCACGACAGAGAGCCGTGACAGGATCGAGAAGTGAGCGAACGCCGGTATGTGTTCGCTCACTTCCCGATCTACTGAGCCGACCTGTGACAGTTTCATTGTCACAGGTCGGCTAGAACTATGAGGTGAGTGAAAAGCACTCACCTCATAGTTCTCATTTAAGGTTCCTGTAGCTCCACCCCCTTCTTGTTTCATTATTTTGTACCACTGTCAATGGTAAGAATAACACTCATCGCTGTCAACAAGGCAAAATATTAGGTTTTTTTTTATCAGCCAATCAGATAGAAGGGAGTGTGGGGTAAGGAAGGGGGAGGGGGGG